ACAAAATGCTTTTCAGTTAATTAATTTAAATCTGTCTTCGTTTCACAGATTTCGTGCCTTATCACAAGCATCAAGGTAGAGACACTCTTTATGCAGGAAATCATGTTTGTCTCCCTGCTACTGTTGCTTTGCGTGACCCTCGCAATTCCTGAAGCCAGTCAAGCTACCGATAGTGAATCAGAGGGACTCGGAAAGGTGGTTTACCTTCCGAAGATAAACTTATTGGCCGACTTTCATGAAAAAGAGAATCGCATCTATGAACCTCTACCATCAGAATGCTTCACCAAGAAACCCTTGAAGTCCTCAAGCAGCAAATTCGATTACTATAAAAGTACCAAGGAATTGTATAAGTCACTGGCCACCGAGTCAAGCCTGAGCGCCTCGTTAACCTCGACGTTTACTTTGAGCGCTACTGTATCAGTGGCAACAAAGAGCAAAAGTTCATTGAAAACAGAAGTGAGTGGCATATCTTTGATCAAGGAGGCGTTGACAGAAAAGATTTACGTCGATAAAGAATGCCTTGTGAATGTCAAAAGATCCACCCTCGATGGAGGTTTTCTGGACTATTAAGAAAACCTGCCATTAAAAATTGAAAAGCCTTGGTTTCACAATTCTTGGAGAGCATATCGTACTTTCCTAGATAAATATGGCTCCCATGTCATAACATCTATGAGGCGCGGATCAAGGTTCCAGCAAATGGTCTTCGCAGAGAGCTCTCAATCGTATAGCGAGAGGGATTTCCAGGTGAAAGCATGTGTCTCGGCTGCAGGTCCCACGTCTGTTGGAAAGCTTGGCGTTTCTGCTTGTTCTAAAATAGGCAGCAATGAAATATCAAAGGCAAGCAAGATGAGTGTTAGCGAGACACGGTTCTTCAGGGGAGGACTAAGGGCAACAAATAGCGAGCTGGCAAATGGAGAAACGTCAGCTGAACTGATTATAAAACTTATGAATGAAGCTGATGAGGCACCTTCGCCTGTCCAGCATACCTTAATGCCGATTTCGCGCATATTACAAAGCCGCTTTAAACCAGGATCTAATAATTACATCCGAGCAACAAACCTCGAGTACTACTACAACGGTTACTTAAATTACGGTTGTACCTACAAGTCACTCAATGGTGTCGAACTTCAAAAATTCGACTACACCAAAGGATCAAAGGAAGAATATCCAGAATTCGAATGTTCTATCCCAAAGGAAGGTTGTCATAGCGACAATGACTGTTACTACATGGTTGGTGTCTGGTGCAATTGCGGGGGAAGATCATGCGTTCATCACAAGTCGGAGAAACAAATCCTAGGTAGTTCCAAGGAAACTGCATATATGAACACGGCAACATGGGACTGGAAAGGATGCGATTGGAAAGTCTGGGGGTCGGTATGTGCTTGTTACAACAAAGATCGCAATGAAAGGCAGACTGTGTGGTCCTTAGCTACCAGCTCCAAAGATGCTGGTAAACATAAAGCACCTGGCAACACAACCTACGACGGGGCAATTGATCCTGTTACAGGTCAAGCGGAAAGAATGGCAACACCTAACACAGCCGAAGATGCTGCTGAGCACATGGCGAAACATCCAATTCAAACCCAACCGAAGGAAGAGGAAGAGGAAATTTAATGTCTCTTATATCACATGAAATCACTTAAATGGGAAGCGCCTAATTAAATTATAGAGAAAAAAAATCTGGTCTTAAACAACAGTTGACCATTCGATCAGGGATGGACAGCTGTAATTGATACATTTTGCGATCTTTTAGGTGGAATGTTAAAATACAAATCCAGTTAAAGTGTTCAAATAAATGAGAGCGCATCCACGGCAGTCAAACTCATTATTGTCAAGGGGAAAGAGAAGGGATTACATATAGCAAACATTTTCAAAGATGGAACTGTTGCTGGTACAATTTCTGTGGCTACGTTAATTTCTGGTGGACATTGAATTAACAAACTGTTTCGTTCATTGACCCCGGAGTTAAAAAGACACGGTATACAAATTTAGTCACAATCACCTCAAGCGGTACACAACCTCTTCGTTTCCGTTCTGAGACCCCATGACGAATCGAACCTCAGTCCTTCGGATTCCGCGCTCCGATGCTCTACCGCTGAGCCACAGAGACTCTACGGTGAGCGAGGTCTATCACGAAGTTCATATGACAGGAGTCTTGCATACTGCTAGGATCAGCAATGTCGATGGCGTCATGTTTGTAAATAGAATAAGACAGATGGTATGTTTTGAGTTCGGTAAAGAACTTTTTTCTTCGTCCCACGTTCCTGACAAGACGACAAATATCTTTTACTAACTGAAATGTAGTTTAAATGCTTTTTCTTTTAGCCTTTTTATCACTATTTTCTTTACGTTTTGAGTATTATAAAACCAGCCATTACCTATAAGGATCCGCTGATTCGTCTTCAAGTTTAAACAAAGCCTCTATTACCATTATCACAGTTTTCATCCTTGTAATCATTATTAGTATCATCATCATCACTGTGACTATCGTCATTATCATCATCATAATGAGTATAGACTTAGTAAGATTCCCCGATACCAAAACAGGGAAGAAAAGATTCTTCTTTGACTTAAACTTATTTTCCACTCAATCTAAAAGTTCCTCGCATTCGTTCAACTTGTGAACCGTTTGAATGATCGATGGGGTGAACTTACGAAAAGGTTGACCCTTAAGGTGAAATCCATTAACTAAACGGAGTACTGATGCGTACCTCTTCGCTTTCTTTTAATCATTTTATTCATCCGGTTACTAAGTTACCAACGCTTTTGTCGGGTATCAGTTACGGTTATTGTCAACAAAAAAAGGTGTTTTCCGGAAAAATCTTCCTACACGCGCTATTTTTAAAGAATCCATGGAAAACTATCTATCAATGTAAATCTTTATAAAGTACAGATTAAAATTAACAAAAGTTCCCGAAGGTTTTCTTTTGGTTGGCGCGTGCGAGCCTTTTAAACACAAAACTGACAGTGTTTGCTTTACTTAATTACCAGGTACTGCGTTCCGACGGACCTCCCAAAAAGGATAATAGGCTAACAAAGAGTTTGAGGCTTTTTTGATATTCCTTTTTGCTTCCCGAGAAAATCTATTTTGAAGTTGGACAACACGAAATATTTCGGTTCTTGTTACGCTCCGGGGCGTCATAAAGAAATATCTCGAATTTCGCAAAAGCCTCAAATACTTTGGGGTGTTAATATCTGCTGAACATTCTGGCCAACATACATATCCAACATACCCTATTAATTCATTAAAGAGGTAACTCGCTTGAAAAGCAACTCGAGTTTTTGACCTCCAAAGAAATTCGCAGTTTCGCACCTAATTTTTAAAAGCGCCTGACAATGCGGTCATGCTGCCGACCAATGAAACGCAATACCAAAACCCTGGCAAGCCTCGAGAAAAAAGAACTCCTTTAAAGTTTGCGGAAAGGCCACCCGAATTTACAATGGTTAAACGAAATCCAAAAGTTCATTGGGAAAAACAGAACAAAAAGGGGACAAAGGAAGCTCGGGAAAAAAGAAAACCTTAACTTCGATTCCTAAGGCCTCGGATCTCTCGCGACTATTCTCTTTCTGGCTGTTTTATGAATGCTCTAAATACTAAACGTTTAGCAAAATGTGCCCGAAATTCCCTTTGGTTGTACAATGCAATACGGGATGTAAATAAAATATGTAAAGCGAGTTATTAGAAGAAACCCAGCTGGAGGCCTTTACGATTACGACAACTTTCGTACAGGTTCCCATGTTCTTCAGCCGTATCTCGTGTTCGTTCAAGATTTTTCATTTTTTCGACAAATTAAACTGAACTGCTTTCTCCGACTAAAGAGCAAGAACAACAAATTTTAAAAGAATATGACCAGATTTTGTCGACAATAACCTAAAAAGAGTTTTCTTTCAACCTCTGAGCTGCCCACATGCAAATATTCCTGTGACCTATGACTTCTTAATGAGGCTCAGTTCTATCATGAAAGCCAAAGGCATCTCATCACATGCAAAGTTCACAGACTCTTATATACAAAGCGTCCTGGAGGAATCAAATCCATTCAGTAACTGGATAGCAACGCTACATACTTCAATAACGGCGCTCTCGTCCTAAGTTCCATTTGTTTGTACAATGCAATTCGCGATGTAAATAAAATATGCAAATCGAGATCCAAGACGAAACCCCGCGGAAAACGTCAACACCCTGCTGGAGGCCTTTCCGATAGTGACACCTTTCGCTCTACGGTTCAGGTTGCCTTGTTCCTTCAGTCATATTTCGCGTTCTTTTAAAGACTTTGTCACTTTTTCGACAAATTATACTTAATTGCTTTCTCCGACTAAAGAGCAAGAACGCAAAATTTTAAAAGAATTTGACCAGATTTTGTCGACAATAACCTAAAAAGAGTTTTCTTTCAACCTCTGAGCTGCCCACATGCAAATATTCCTGTGACCTATGACTTCTTTATGAGTCTCAGTTCTATCATGAAAGCCAAAGGCATCTCGTCACTTGCAAAGTTCACAGAATCGAACAGAAAGAGCGTTCTGGAGGAATCGACTCCATTCAGTAAGTAGATAGCAACGCTACAAACTTGAATAACATCGCTCTCGTCGTAAGTTCCATTTGGGTTTACAATGCAATTCGCGATGTAAATAAAATATGCAAATCGAGATCCCAGACGAAACCCCGCGGAAAACGTCAACACCCTGCTGGAGGCCTTTCCGATAGTGACACCTTTTGCTCTAAGGTACAGGTTGCCTTGTTCTTTCAGCCGTATATCGCGTTCTTTTAAAGATTTTGCCATTTTTTGGACAAATTAAACCTAACTGCTTTCTCCGACCATACAACAAAAAGATCGAAGTTTTGAAAAGTTTGACCAGATTTTGTCGACAGTAACCTAAAAGAATTTTCTTTCAACCTCTGAGCTACCTACATGCAAACATTCCTGTGACCTAAGACTTCTAAATGAAGCTCAGTTCTAGCATAAAAGCCAGACGCATCTCACCACATGCAAAGTTTACAGAATCTAATAGCCAGAGCGCCCTAGTGAAAAAGACTCCATTCGGTAAGTAGATAGCAACGCTACATACTTGAATAACGGCACTCTTGTCTTAAGTTCTACAGCTTTACAGTAATTCATTATGAAAAATAATATACATCAGGGGCACCTGTATACATGTAGTATTTCGAAAAGCCAGACTGAGTAGGTAGTATAACAATATAGTCGGCTTAACACAACTACTTAAAAAAGAAACATATTTACGTTGTTTTAAATACATGGAAGTTTAAGTGTTCCATTCAAAGCTATAATTCTTGGAGTGTTACTTCTGATGAAGCAATACTGATTCAAACTGAAAATCACGTTTAAAAGGCGTTTCCTTTCCAAATCTAAGTCCAAGTTTAAGTCAAAGAAAGTGCAATAGCAGATCATATCGTTAAATTATGGTATTACCATATAATCACTACTTGTTCCTGTTCATTTAAGTATTTTCACTTTTGCGTCCGAGTTTCCGGTGGGTTTTAGGATTCGCTGCAGTCAGATATCATGTCACAAGTAAACTAAATCAGAGTCGAGCTCGTGGAATTTCACTCGTTGTCCGTACTTTTCATTTTACATCATAAAGTCTTAGCTTGCACAATGAAATTGACATTTAAATCCCACCCTTCTAAAAATAAGTAAGCTGTTAACCCTTTAACTCCCAAGATCAGATCGTTAATTCTCTCTCATGGCTGCTACACGTTTCCTTGTAAATAAGTTACGAGAGTTTTGGTGTTAGATCAAGATTAAAACTTCTACGTGAAACGTTTAAGATTTCTTATTACCTGTTTCCTGAATATTGTATGGATATTATGGGGAGAAGTTACATGTAAATCACTTTTGGGGTTTAAGGGTTAAGGGAGGATCGTCACTTGTAATTCGACATTCAGTCAACTGGTGGCCAGTTGTCGACGAACTATTTGTGTGATGGTGAACGGGTCAGACAAGGTCCTCGCCCTAGTCTCCCAACCATCCTGGCTATACTCTGAATCGCTCCTGTAATTTTCAACCTTTCGTGATTAATTCCCTATTTCTATATGCCCGCAAACCTAGGACCTTAAATACACGATCTATTTTCAAATCGATGCCGATATTTTCACAAAGTAACCTAGAACGCTCAGTAACGTAACCTGGTTTGATTCGGTGGTTTGACACACTGCTGGATATAGAACCAGTATAGGTATAACGCCTTAAAGGTTTGGCATTAAAGAGTTCTGGGAAGTATGATTAACTCTTAAGCAATTACTGTTAAAATTATTGTTATCATTATTACGAGTATCACTGCCAAACTAACTACTTTATAAGGAAGTGCATATGAAAACAAAATGCTTTTCAGTTAATTAATTTAAATCTGTCTTCGTTTCACAGATTTCGTGCCTTATCACAAGCATCAAGGTAGAGACACTCTTTATGCAGGAAATCATGTTTGTCTCCCTGCTACTGTTGCTTTGCGTGACCCTCGCAATTCCTGAAGCCAGTCAAGCTACCGATAGTGAATCAGAGGGACTCGGAAAGGTGGTTTACCTTCCGAAGATAAACTTATTGGCCGACTTTCATGAAAAAGAGAATCGCATCTATGAACCTCTACCATCAGAATGCTTCACCAAGAAACCCTTGAAGTCCTCAAGCAGCAAATTCGATTACTATAAAAGTACCAAGGAATTGTATAAGTCACTGGCCACCGAGTCAAGCCTGAGCGCCTCGTTAACCTCGACGTTTACTTTGAGCGCTACTGTATCAGTGGCAACAAAGAGCAAAAGTTCATTGAAAACAGAAGTGAGTGGCATATCTTTGATCAAGGAGGCGTTGACAGAAAAGATTTACGTCAATAAAGAATGCCTTGTGAATGCCAAAAAATCCACCCTCGATGGAGGTTTTCTGGACTATTTAGAAAACCTGCCATTAAAAATTGAAAAGCCTTGGTCTCACAATTCTTGGAGAGCATATCGTACTTTCCTAGATAAATATGGCTCCCATGTCATAACATCTATGAGGCGCGGATCAAGGTTCCAGCAAATGGTCTTCGCAGAGAGCTCTCAATCGTATAGCGAGAGAGATTTCCAGGTGAAAGCATGTGTCTCGGCTGCAGGTCCCACGTCTGTTGGAAAGCTTGGCGTTTCTGCTTGTTCTAAAATAGGCAGCAATGAAATATCAAAGGCAAGCAAGATGAGTGTTAGCGAGACACGGTTCGTCAGGGGAGGACTAAGGGCAACAAATAGCGAGCTGGCAAATGGAGAAACGTCAGCTGAACTGATTATAAAACTTATGAATGAAGCTGATGAGGCACCTTCGCCTGTCCAGCATACCTTAATGCCGATTTCGCGCATATTACAAAGCCGCTTTAAACCAGGATCTAATAATTACATCCGAGCAACAAACCTCGAGTACTACTACAACGGTTACTTAAGTTACGGTTGTACCTACAAGACACTCAATGGTGTCGAACTTCAAAAATTCGACTACACCAAAGGATCAAAGGAAGAATATCCAGAATTCGAATGTTCTATCCCAAAGGAAGGTTGTCATAGCGACAATGACTGTTACTACATGGTTGGTGTCTGGTGCAATTGCGGGGGAAGATCATGCGTTCGTCACAAGTCGGAGAAACAAATCCTAGGTAGTTCCAAGGAAACTGCATATATGAACACGGCAACATGGGACTGGAAAGGATGCGATTGGAAAGTCTGGGGGTCGGTATGTGCTTGCTACAACAAAGATCGCAATGAAAGGAAGACTGTGTGGCACTTAGCTACCAGCTCCAAAGATGCTGGTAAACATAAAGCACCTGGCAACACAACCTACGACGAGGCAATTGATTCTGTTACAGGTCAAGCGGAAAGAATGGCAACACCTAACACAGCCGAAGATGCTGCCGAGCACATGGCGAAACATCCAATTCAAACCCAACTGAAGGAAGAGGAAGAGGAAATTTAATGTCTCTTATATCACATGTAATCACTTAAATGGGAAGCGCCTAATTAAGTTATAGAGAGAAAAAACCTGGTCTTAAACAACAGTTGGCCATTCGATCAGGGATGGACAGCTGCAATTGAAACATTTCGTGATCAGTTAGGTGGAATGTTAAAATACAAGTCCAGTTAGAGTGTTCAAATAAAGGAGAGCGCATCCACGGCAGTCAAACTCATTATTGTCGAGGGAAGGGAAGGGATTACATATAGTAAACATTTTCAAAAATAGAACTGTTGCTGGTACAATTTCTGTGGCTACATTAATTTCTGGTGAACACTGAATTAACAAACTGTTTCGTTCATTGACCCCGAAGTTAAAAAGACATGATATACAAATTTAGTCACAATCGCCTCAAGCGATACACAAGTTTCGTTTCCATTCATGACTTTAGCTGGGGTGAAATAGTATAGCGAAATAGAGAACAAGCAACGAGCAGGGGTGTAGTGCTAGCTAACCATTATGAAAAAAGCGCAGGGCGGAACAACTTGTGTGTGGGGACCATAACAGCTAAAGCCAGTGAGAGTTGCGCGTTTAAAATTGTTAGAGGACATTTCGGCCGTCAGTAATTTTCCTCGATTCTACACGTTTCTCAGCAGTATCGATAATGATATCTTCTTGGCTAAAATAACCTTTAGAGAATTCAAAGAGTAGTTCTCAACATCGATGTATTGTCAATGGCTCCCTGATATCGGCTAACGGGCAGACAACTCAAGCAGTTCGAGGCTACGTGATGTCAATTATTATTTGATACGGTTATTGATCTCTTAATCGACTAGAGCCGATTTTGGCTAGATTAATTTTATCACGAGAAATGTTCCAGTAATAGTGTAATTTGCGACCTTTAGTGATCCCCTGAATCTGTACTATAGAACAAGCTCACTCACCTTTCATTCTTGTGTTGTGTCCATTGATGTTAGGGGGCTGGTTTCCCTTTCTTGACAGACGCTCTACCAAATTTTTTTGATTTTCATTGAATCTGATTCTCCCTGAAGAATACACTGTCTCTTTTCAATCTGTGGAACAATTGCCTTTGCCTCTTGAACATCATTTCACTAAAAAATGGATCAAATATAAACTCAATCTGCATACACTGGAAGTTCCCCAGTATTCAAAGGGCATGCATATGTCCACACTCTGATATAGTGGTGTTTTTACCATTATCAACACACCCCTATTACAAAAAGTGACCGAGCCCAGTAGCTGTCAATTGACATTTCACTGACACTTGACACAAATTTTTCACTCTACATTACCATCAGGACAATATTAAAACATTTTACATCCTAACATCAGTATTCTCTGCACTGTTTTCTGTACATTTCCTATGATGCTCCATGCTCCTGGGGGGTGGGGGGAAAACCTAGAAAACCTACTTAAAACGCCGGCCATTGTTTTGCTCGCAAATTTTCAAATTTTGGCGCGACATCCAAGGCTCGCATTTGATTGGCTATCTGTGAGTTTCTTTGATTATTGACCGATCAGAATGTCTGATTTGTTACTTTCTTTGCAGTGAATTAACCTTCTTCTGCACTGAATTAACTCTCTTCTGCACTGAATTACCTGAAAACTGCATTTATCTTAACCAATCAGAACTGTGAAAATTTTCCATGTATATTATTAGGTCTGTAATCACAAAAGTGATTAAGAAAATCAGACAACCGCTGAGCAGGAGTCTGATTCGTCAATTGCGAATACAATTACAGACTCAAGTCCTGTTGCCAATTAATCATAATTGTTACAATTTTCTGAAAACAAGAAATACATTTAGGACAAATAAGTGCAGTAGAGACAATGTCGAAGCAAAAAATTCTTCAACTTTAGAAATTCCACAAATTTTTTAGGATTGTGAAGTGTTTGTTGCTATGTCTATTGTGATAAATTCTGTGATTGGTGGATTTGACTGAAAGGACTAAAATTTGATTGGCTGCTTAAACTGTCTGATTACAGCCAACTGTCCGATTACACTGTCCGATTACAACTCTACAGAATGATAAGTGAAAAAAAAAGTAGCTAATGCACCAATCATATTTGAGGAAATTGTCATGGTTATGATTAAACTTGTTACCATGGCACAAATAGAAAACACCCTCACTGAATTACATAGATCAAACAAAAATTACCAGTCCCTCTTTGATACCAATGAGGTCATGGCACTTGTTTTTGACCCATGAGGAGAAATGAAACATGCTGTACCCCCGACATGAGTGAGATAGTTCTGGTTGAACCTTAAACTGAGCATTATTCTGCTCAGGATTTGATTATCCTTAAATTGCCTTGCAATAATGAAATCTAAAATTGATGAGAAGAATATGTAAAAAATACCAGTCTGTCTTTGTTACTGATGAACATGAGAATATTAAACATATTTTCGCTTCTCTTTTACAAAAACAACCCTGACTACATTTAAGAAGAGCTATAAGATGCTTGGCCACCAGTAATCTATGTCTAACATTTATCATTTCGGTACAATGACTGATTTGCTTGTCACTCACAGTCTCACTCAAATTATACGCTAAGTAATTGTTGAATCACAGAAACCAGATTCTCAAGACAAGCAAAAAAGTTCACAACCACACCATAAATAATCTTAAGATTAAAAAAATTTTGAGTGAGACTTGTTTAAGATCATAACTTATTGAAACTACTGTTAAAGAGTTGAATTTTTCTTCAACTTTCTTTGAAAAGTAAAAAATATATATGTTATTCACCAGATGGGAGGTCTGTATTAGGAAAAACTGTGCCTGAGGTCTTGGATACCACCCGAGGCCAAAGGCTGAGGGCAGCACACAAAATAGAGGGCACAGTTTTTCCCAATGTGGACCGACCTTGGCTGGTGAATAACATTTTCATTTTTTTTCTATAACCTAACAAATAGTTGCAAAAAGAACCTGACCTGCTGTGAGTGGGCTGAATGGGGAGAATACTGCCCACTCTTGGAACCCATCAGACTGCAGGATTTGTAGAATACCACCTGCTCACGAACTGAGAAAAAAAAGATTTTATTATAAATTTATTTTGCAGCATAATATTTTTCACTTGATGCAAAAACAAAGTTTCCCTGATTGAGCAAGTTCTGTGCAGCTCTGCAAATAATTCCATGACTACAAATGATCCAAAATAGGATGCACAAGTCTTTTACCCAAATCAGTCCCTTGTCCATGCCTGAATTGGAGCTAACAAGTTTGCAGCTAGAAAATTTTTTGCTGAAGTCTAAACTAGTGCTTATCAGCTAAAAATGACTTCACATGTATTAGATCTTTTGGAGTTCTACCACACTCTGTCAACTGATCTCCAACTAAAGCAGTTAAAGAGGGGAAAAACTTATCCCATGTGCTAGGATAGCCCTATTAACCTTTTAACTCCCATGAGTGACCAAGACAGAATTTCTCCTTACTACATCTATACAATATCAATTATGGGATAACTGATTGATCCCATACTAAATTCTCCAAACTAACTTAATAAGAATCATTTAGCAGACAATAAGGTGAATTACTAATGAGATTTTGGGAGTTAAAGGGTTAAATGCCCAGGTAACTTTGGCTGTCTTATCAGTACCTTTGCTGTTACTATAACAATATTAATTATTGTTCACCAAAGTGAGGGAAAATATCCTCTACTTTCCCTGGTACTAGGGCGAATAATTGTTTTAGTACATACCATTGAAGCTGGATTACAACAGACTAAGACATAATATCATTTTTTCAAATGCTTATACAGTTTAAAATTCCACAAGCTACACTCTCCACAGGTCTAAGCAAGCTCTCTCTTTGTACAGAAAGAACTTTCCTTTACTAGGTTATGTCCCTTTATGGTTGACAAATAAAAATCTTAAAGTTTTTAACTTGTTTGGGTGTAATTTGTTTAGTTAGTGTTAGAAAATCATCTTGTTGTTGATCATTTTGATGGTCTGGAAAGCATTTAGTTCATTACATTGTAAATATAGCCTGTACTCTTTAGTTTTTATTCAAGGCACTGGACTTTCAAATTTTGTCTTGAAATTATAATTTGGAGCTATCAACATACCTACTTTGAAATTCTATTGAAACAAACTACTAATCATTTTTTGTTCTTAGTGCAACTTCCACTTTTACTGGTGAAATTTCCTCTCCTGGGTCTCAAGAAAAAAAGGAAGCCAGTTTGTTTTTTCTTTGGTGGCTACTAGGTGAGTATCTCTAGGCTTATCACCTCCAAGCAAGCCAACCAGCATGTTCAAACAGACTATTTGCTTCAAAAGAGAAAAATAATAGTTTGTCTCACAATGTGGTCACTTTGGATGTGGATTGCAATGTTTCAACTGCATACTGCCTGACTTCTTCAGGTGATGAGATTGATTGAGTATGCATCATCTAATTATATGCTGTTGTTCTCAGCTGTGATTGGTACATCATTTGGATCAGTTTCCCCTCTGTGGTCTGCTGCCAAAAGGCTCTCCTGCTGTTGTGTGCTTTTGTCCCTGTTGATGTTGCTAAGGTGAAGTCATAGCTGAATTGCCTCTTTTACCCTGCATGTATAGAAATGGGGATACAGTCAAGAAACTTTACTTTAGTTCCAGAGAAGGTGGCATCTGGCGTTATGGGCATGCTATGAGATGGCTGAGGCCTGCATTTTAATGAGTCAGATATCCCTTTTGTGTGCCTTGATTCTCTCCTGCATAGGTCTGCCAGTTTTACCAATGTAAACCTAATCCCACACTCACAGGGAATCCTGTGAATCCTGCATAGTCTACAGGATTTCCTGTAAGTGCAATAAGGTTAACATCAGTGAAACTGGCAGATCAATGCAGGAGAGAATCAAGGAACTTGACAGGCATATCCCACTTGCAAAGGCATAGACCACTGCCACCCAGGAGCATGCCTACAACACCAGAAACTGCCTGCTCTGGAATGAAAATAAAGTTTATTGATTGTGATCCCCATTTCTACACATGCAGGGTAAAAGAGGCAATTCACATAACACCTCACTCTAACAACATCAAAAAGGATAATGGAATTGAAATCCCAGAGGCCTGGAAGCTCACTATCAAAAAACACAACAGCAGTATAGAGCCATGCAACAGAGGACCTCAGAAGGAAACTGATCTGAAAGCTGCACCAATCACAGCTGTGGAATTCAATCCAATAACTGCTAAACATAACAGCATATAGGAGATGCATACTTGATTGACCTCATTTCCTGAAGAAGACTAGCAGTATGCAGTCAAGATATCACAATCCACATTCAAAGTGACCATATCATGAGAGAAACAATTATATTTTTCTTTTGAAGTGTTATTTACCAGGATGAATAACCATCATCTATTTTACTACATACAATATTTGCTTATTTGGCTTATGTACAAGAAGGAAATATATGAATGCCAACAGAGCAGTCATTAATACCTTGCACCACAGAAATGTTTTTCTCATCTATTGTTTAAGTGATAAAACAATCTCATTGAGCAACTTGCAGCACAACATGGTGTTTCAAACACATAGCTCACTTTTATGAAAGGCTTAAAGCAAAATAGCAATTCAACAGAAATTCTTCTTTTCCCTACTTTTACCTCTTTCACAAATTTCAATGAACTATTCAGTATTTTACACAAATTTTGACCGATACTTATTTATGTGTGTTATTATGAAAAATTTGCATGGGAAATCTGTGTGTCCCTGGCCAAAATTTAGCTCTCTTTTCCATGAAAAATGTTTGAAATCTGTGCTAAAAATGCTAGAGGAACCCTAATGCAGTTATCACTGTACACAGCCTTGATTGTAAACAATCAATCATGGAATAACCAGATACCATTTCCGAGAAAATGAGGTGGCGCAAGCCCCTGTTTTACAACAAAGATAGGTACAAACCTCAGATATGAAACTTATCTGTATTCTCGTGCACTTAAGTTTATTTTTACACAATCAAGGTGTTTGCACGAAGCCCCACTTTAATTAAATTAAACTGAAACTTTTTCGGAGCATGAGTATTGAAATTTCAGCCTTAACAGTATTAACCAAATATTATAAAGTAGTACTTACTTGTGTCTATGAATGATCTTAATATTGATTCAGTGCGCTGGTACTCCCTTAAGATCTTTAAAGATAACGTTGTTTCATCACTCAGGTTGTTGCAGTCTTAATCCGGCCGCAATGTGGCCGCTCAATCACCGCCACGGTTGAAGGGATTGTTGCCGCCATATTTCAAAACTTAATTACGCGCCCGCAAGTAAACCTAAAGCGGATTTTCTCTCAAAAGCAAAGACTGAAAAGTGGACTTACGGACTCGCGTGCTGGGTCCAGGAGCAGGGAAGCACAGCACCAAAGTAAGACCTTACGTGGGTTAGCTTCCCGGTCAAATACCTAAAAAACCTTTTCTAAAGTACTGTTTGTTTCTTTTTTTCATTCAAATACAAATATTACTGACATCCATGACAAAGTTAATCAGTTGATTATGAATTAATGATTTCATGAGGAAAATGTTTGATTACATTATGTAAATTGTTGGTTGTTGTTCAACTGTATTAGTTTTTTGCTGATGAGTTATTTTTGCCCTTTTGTTAATAAATTGCTTTATCTGAAAATAATTTAGTCGTTACAGTATAAGCCTCGAGGAAATCCTTCAAACGCCAATAAAATCACCATACTCATTGTTATAATTATAATCGACCGTTGCTGTCGACTCTCCCAGTGCTCAGATTTCACAAATTACTAGTGAGACAAACGCAGAGGAAACGTTTTGATGACGACAAACGACATTCAATAACATGAAAGTTTATTCTAACTTCGCTTAAAGCAATTCCACAATTGCCATGAGTAAGAAACATTTACCATTCTTATTGTGTATTTGTGCAATTCTCTGGACCCACTCTAAATTCCAATTCAACCTGGAAACAGTGGGCAAAAAGAGCAACCTCGTGGAATGTCCATTGCTAAATCCCATTATTATCATTATTATTATTATTATTATCATCATCATCAGTGTTATCATTATTACTATTATTATTATAGTACGTCGTTACTATTACTGTCATTATTACTATTATCAAATAATTTGTCAGACAGCGAATGCAAAGTCCTGAAAGACACCGGCTTTAAGTTATTGCCACATCACCCTCGTAGATGAAGCATGAAAGTAAGCTGCTTAACAAAAGATTCGACGTCAGTAAATCAAGTTGAGACAAAAAGGATGCTTCTCGGAAAAAAGACATTCATTTTTTGAAAAAATTGGTCTGACAAGTCAGTTCTGACAATGGGTATGTGTTTGGTAAGAATTGGGGAACAACTGGCTTTGAGAAATTCTCGTCAGTCTACACCTTGAAGAGTAACATTGCAACGCGATATCAATAAGTACTGCAGAAAATTGCTGTATATTATCTTATAACAGGCCCATTCATAGAAAAAACAGTTTACAGGATGTTATTCAAAGATTTCTTCGATAGTTATCATTCCATAATCAAACATATTTCCACCAGTAATTGCTATACAGCTTTCACCACCGCAATATGAGCCCCCGCCACCCCCTGCTTGCCGACTCCCTGTGCCACTTCCGCCTCCAGAATATCCCCCGCCTCCACCTGATGCTCCATTATCTTCCGCGCCCCCTCCGCCTCCACCATAACCACCCATAGCCCCTGGGAATGGTCCTCCGTTGGTCCCAGTGTTCATCCAACCTGCTTGTCCTCCGGCCCAGGCACGATCAAGTGATCCCCCACCATCACCGTTGGCGCCATACCTTCTTTTACATGCTGAACCGAGCCAGCCCGCACCTGCTCCTCCGTGCCAGTTTCCACCATAGGTATTACATTCACCTGGTTGACCACCTTTTCCCCCTTTTTTGACGCGCAACGGGCTTAAACCATTGGATTCAGTGCCGTCTTCTCCAGCCTGACCATCAATGCCATTAAATCCCCCAGATGCACCCCCTCCCCCTCCAGCTGCAATCAAAAGTATTTTTTCCTGTCCTACCGTGTAAACGAAACTTCCTCCCCCTCCCCCGGTGCCGGCATTATCTTCCACTGACAAACCCAATTCAGTTGCTGTCTTACTGGTTCGCATCCCACCTTTCACTTCTACTGAATTACCCCCTCTCTTTCCCACCACAAGGACTAATACAGTTCCTTTTGAAAGACTGAAAATTCCTTTAATCTTGGCACCTCTACCACCAGAGTATGTCCCAGGTCGATATCCATAATTGTAGCTGTGAGTTCCGCCTCGTGCTCCGTAGGCAGTGATTGAATATCGAGAAGTACTGGGAATTGAATATCCTTCAGTTTTGCCTACTCTGGTATTTTTGTCTCCGACTGTTAAAATAAAATTTTACGAATCATTTTATGCTGGCGCAGATCGTAGCTAAATAGAGGAGGTGAAAAAATTTAGAAAATTTATCTCACTCACAATTATTAGGACTTCAATTCTATAGAAACTGGTTGAAAAATGATTAGAAAGATTGACTCTAAATTTCAATGAAATTTTACCAGTTTGCTTATGGATTTTCCGGTCTGAATGCTCCTCGAGAGCGAAGTCCACG